CCCCAAAACCCCAAAACCCCGAAAATTAAATTATAGTAAATTCAATTGTGATAAATTAATTTATTTGAAACAAAATTCAGATTAAATTATATTCAGCAAAAGCATTTATTAAATTAATTAGAGGCTAAGATCAACTGAGTTCAAATAATCAATTATTCTTTTAACCTTTTTTATTAACACTTTCGATTCCCCCTGTCGCAGTACTAGTGTTTATTATCTCCTCATTTTTACTTGGATCATAGGCGGCCTCCTAATCATCAATACTTAAGATGCTAGCTCCCCCACTTCTAACACTTCCTCTGTATGAACTGCTGTTAGCTGGCAAGTAGGCTGGACTTGATGGTATATAAATCATATTTTTGGAACTTTTCCCATTACTGCTGATGGCATACTCCTCTTCGCCATTTGATCTTATCGAGTACCTTGGAGATTTATTAAGTCCATACTTTGGCGACTAGTTATATGCTGGTGTGGTTGGGGAATATGAAGGTGAGTAATTAGAATTCTTAGCTTATGGATAGGGATTGCTATAGTTAAAGTTTGTTGGGGAGTATCTAGGAGAGTTATTTGATATACTTCCTCCAGCTCCTGTTGGTGAATAGGCTGGTGAATTATTAGATCTATGTGAGCCATAAGCGTCTCGTCCAGGAGGCGAATAATTAGGACTTACTGGTCCTGTTATTGAGGGTGATGACAGTGAAGAATGTCCAAGATGTCCGCTTCCTACTCTGTTAACCATATATGATGGCGAAGCTCCTCTAATTCCACTGTGTATCTAAGGATTGTCACCTATCACAGTGAAAGGTGAATTCATATTTGAGTTCTGGTGAGGGCTGTAATTTGGACTCTAAGTGATTCCTGAATGGCCTCCCATCGGACTCTGATTTTGAGGGGATATGATTCCATCTGAAGCAGGATGATAAATAGGTGAAGAGTATTATTGATATATTGGCGATTGGTATCTATCATAACTTCCTACTAATCCTCCTTGATAAACAGGTGAATTTATTCTATATTATGGACTGCCAGGACTTTGATATGGATTTGGCGACATGTAGTTCGGTGAGCTATAGTTCTGACCTGGTGAGAATGCACCTTCATATGCTGACTAATTTCCTGGCGTTCTTCCATATTCAGATGTCATTCCTCTTTGAATATGAATAGGAGTTGTATCAGCATAAGGCGTCTAGTGTTTCATATAGAAATTGTTAAAGTACTCATCCTCCTACACTGGAGTCTATTGTTCCATCAATAGCTCCTCGTCAAGTGTTGACTGTGCATACTCTTGTAAAATAGCGGCATCTTAAACAATGTCAAACGATCCAGATCCTAATGGTGCCAATTTACCTAGCATTATATTCTCAGTGATTCCCTTAAGTGGATCAATCTCATTAAACACAGCTGCTTCTAGTAATATTTCTACTGTCTCCTCAAATGATGCCTTTCTTAGTGCTCCTGTATCCATTCTATTAATACCATGTCTTGTAATAGAGGTCAGTCTTCCTCTCTAGCACATCACATCACATAGTGTGGCTATATGTCTGTAGTTGACATAAATGCCATAGAAGCTCAGTACAGTCCTCAACTCATTAATAAGTGCTTTACGAGCCGCTTCTATACCAAGGACACTTTAGATCTCTAGAATGTCATTAGAGATAGTTTTGGTGTGATCGACATCGTCTACAGTTAAGATCTTTTACAATGCTACTCCATCTGTTTCTAGCATCCAATTGTCATTCGTTTACTTGTGAACTCCTGTATGAATATCATATTCGTGCTCAGTGTATTTCTTGGCATAGACTTTGCTAATTTCAGGTATGCCTTTGAGTGTGAAATCATTCATAAGTGAGTTTTCAAGTTCTTTTAAGAATTAGACTGCTGTTTCCATATCAGTTCCATCCTCATCGATAACATCTTTAAATCTTAGTCTCAAAACATGAACAGTATCATTAGTGTCACTAGCTTTAACTTCTATTTGATCCCCAAACACAGACTGAATCTTTTTATCAATAAAATCCATACTGAAATCTCTGCTCTAAATCTTCTTAGGATCAAGTTTGAATCTGAGCACCCAAGGACTGTTAATATTGTTATTGCAAAGCTCAGGCACTTCATTATACATAGCTAACAGTCTTTCGTCCTCCTTTATTAATGTCTGATTGGGATTTGGCTCGTAGTAGATGCTACTGCTTTCAACTAAATGAGATAGATTTGAATGCTCTATCTAGTTTTAAATTTTCATGACAGTTCTTTCGCTCTTCTTATGCTCCCCTTTGAGATATATAGATATCATAGGAGTATTGATATTTCTAGCCACATTTATAACTTCCTTAAGTCTTGGAACTCCAAGTGTCACATTTTTAGACGAGACTCCAGCAAAGTGAAAAGTATTCAAGGTCATCTATGTTGCTGGCTCTCCGAGACTGTGAGCTGCAATAGACCCTACCATTTCGCCAGGATGAACTTGAGAGGTCTCAAATCTAAACTTGATCTCTCCTATTAGAAAATCAAATGCAGTTTTTGACAATCTCTCCTCTTGAATTATTCTTTTAGAAGCTAATTCATGTCTCAAAAATATCTTCATTAGCTTAGTTGAATTTTCATTTGCTTCTCTGTATTAGGTGTCTCCTACTTTGGCTCTTCTACCAGGAAACACTGTGAGCTCATTTATCAGTTACTCCACTTTGTCTATTACATATTTAGGTTCAAGCGTAGTAGGAAGATGCTTTTTAATATTAAACTGCTAATTGCAGTTAAGCAGTAATCTTGATATGTTTATTGGAATGTGAATCTAGTCCTCTCCATTCTTTATTATATTAGTCCTCAACTCATCCCTATCTCTATAAATTTACTCTTTTTCTCTGTACAGTGTTAGCTGATACTGGGGATCATCCATTATCTTGTTGACAATATAGTCATCGAGGTACTTTCTCAGTTGATCTTTAGCCTCTAAACTCGAAACTTTTTCAGGTATAAAATTGTAACGCCTTTCAATTTCCGCATTACTCATTTTAAGTAAATCAATCTTCAAGTCTTCGATATACTCTCCAGCCATTCCATCTTCTCCGTAGAGGAATTGGATGATCTGCTCACTTGAGTTACGAACAGTATTATCATAATTCACCATCACATCTTCTAAAGCTTTAATAAGTCTTCTTTAAATATACCCAGTCTCAGATGTTTTAACTGCAGTATCAATAAGACCCTCTCTGCCTCCCATAGCGTGGAAAAAGAACTCAGAGGGATCTAGTCCACTAATGTAGTTATTCTTAACAAAACCCTTGGATTCTGGGCCATAATCGTATTTATAGAAGTGGGGCAGACTTCTCTATTTGAACCCAAATGGAATCCTTTTACCTTCTACGTTTTGTTAGCCAACGCAACCCATAATCTGAGATATATTGATATTTGTTCCCTTAGAGCCAGCAACCACCATGTTTTGGATTTTATTCAAGGGATCCAAATTCTTAAAAGCAATATGACCAGCTTCGTCTCTGGCTTAGTTGAGTTTATTGTTGACCATATATTCAAAACTCTCCATCATATTTTTACCAGGTTGAGTGGTTAGTTTGCCAAGCTCAGCTTTCTTGATGATTTTAAACACCTTTCCTCTGAACTTATCAAGAGTCTCGTTAATACTGTTCTTGGTCTGCTGACTTGCACATGCATCCTGCACTCCTACACTAAATCCATGCTGCAATACCCATTAGTTGACTATATTTTAGGCATTAGATAGAAATTCCTTCGCTGCTTATGGCCCGCATTCTCTCCAAATAATATGAATAAGTCCTTGCGAAGAAGAGCCAGCTGTTGACTTATTTAGACACCCAGTTATCAAGTTTCCTTTTTGAATGAGAACAATATTTTCGAATGTTGGACACCAGTTTCTCTCACCATTTTTACCTGGTGAATCAGAATATCTCACTAAATTTACACAAGGAATTATCAAACTCAACATTTATTTTCCAGTCCAGAGTGGCTTTGGTTTTAGTACAGCAGGAATAGGTAGCTGAGAATCAGAAATTGATGAAACACTGCTACTTTAATTACCAAGCCACATCATGAGATTCATTGCTGTATCTTTATCAACGAAAGCATCCTTTCTGGTGAACAACATGATTGCTAATAATGAATCTTAAACTATACCCATAACTGGCTTATTTGATTGTGGTGAGACAATTTATAGTGGGACAGCCATTATCTCCTTCACTTCAGCCATGCTCTCATAACTTTGAGGCACAAACATGTTCATCTCGTCGCCATCAAAGTCTGCATTGTATGGACTTGTGACTGATAAGTTCAGCCTAAATGTAGAATAAGGTAGTACCTTGACTCTGTGCCCCATAATTGACATTTTATGAAGTGATGGCTATCGGTTAAACAAGACATAGTCTCCATCTTTTAAGTGCCTTTCTACTTTATAGCCGAATTCTAAATGAGCCTCAGATCTAGCATTCAAGATTCCAATATCTATCTGTCTTTGATCATGCCTAATTATATACTTTGCCCCTGGGTATACATTAGGCCCATTGCTTACAAATTGTCTTAGGACATCTATGTTTTAAGGAGTCACAGTTTCAGGAATCGTCACATTTTAAGCTATTTTGAGAGGTACTCCAAGCTAGTCTAGTTCAAGGTTGGGATCTGGTGTGATAACGGATCTAGCTGAAAAATCAACTCTTTTCCCCATCAGATTGCCTCTGATTCTACCTTCCTTTCCTTTGAGTCTGGCTCTTAATGCTTTTAACGGTTTTCCAGATTTATGCTTGTGTGATGGCTAGCCAGCTATTTCATTATTCATTAGTGTCGCTACATAATACTGCAGACAATTTCTAAGCTCATTAATAGTAGTTAGATTAGCACCTTTTTCAATTTGAGTAAAAAGGATATTATTGTGCTTTAGTATAACTTAATAACTAAAAGTCAGATCATCTTCGCATCTTGCAGTACTTCCCATAGCTATAGAAGGTCTAACTGGAGGTGGACACACCAGCAATCTTTTGATAATCATGTTCTGAGGCTTCTTTATCCCAATCAATTCCTATTCCTCTGGTGGTATCCTGCTTAGAACTCTGAATGCATCCTCAGGTTATACAATAGCTTTGAAATCAGCAGTATTATAGCCTAGATTTTGCATGTAGTTTTGATTATCCTGGAAGTATTCAACCAGAATCGAAATGCTTTTCTTGATGAACTTAGGCTATTTCATACCACATCCTTCGTTCTGAATGTCACAGTACCTGTACATATGTTTTTCACTCGACCTTAATACCTAAGCAAACCTCGACTTCGCATTTTTTATGCGCTTTATTGCATCTATCTAGTCTTTCTCTCTCGGATATAAAAGCTTGCCACAACTGAAGCATACACATCGCAGTAGCTTCATGACATACTCTAAGCATCCGATGTGATACACTGGCTTTGCAAGCTCTATATGACCAAAGTGGCCTGGACAGTCGACGTGTGAACCTTTGCAAGAAAAGCAAGTGCGGTCTCTATCAATAGTTCCCATCCTTGGGTCATTCACTGCTTCAAACGATGGAATAAGTCCCTTTATTTAGTCATAAATTCTCTCATTCTTGATAGATACTACAGAAGACTTGAGTATCTCATCCTAGTCCAATAGGCAGAACTCCACACTGTTAACTTACTTAAGCTCAATGTAAGAGTGAGTTAAAGCTGAACCAGTTTTAAGCATTCCCAATAATTTGGATGCTAATTTATTTTAATTTATGATCAATAAACTTTGACTATTTTTTAAAGTTGCAATTATTATTTGGATATTTAGTTTATTACCCAATTTAATTTACTAAAGATACAAATATTTGTTCCTTAAGGGGTTTTGGGGTTTTGGGG